GGGCATTCGAACCCGCAGATTGCGAGTCGAGCTCCCTAACCACCTGGCCATGCCCTATTAGTCTGGAAAGAAAGATGTGTTTCAAGATGCAGCATATTTTAAATCATTTATTACTGAAGTATGATATAAAATTACTTCTTTGAAGTGAAAAGGTAAACACGTTAAAAAGTCTTTACTTTTTCTCAAAAATTCCGTTATGAAAAGATTTAATCACAGCGTATTTTAAAATTATTGCAGAAGTGTTCAGAAAACTATTTATTTATTTATTTCAGATATAAAAAATATATACAGTATACTTATCCTGTAACCAAACATTTTGTGGCAAGCTACACGGTACTTATAAAACATTCAAACTACTTTCAAAATAAGTTAAAATATTTATATAATATTATCATGCTCCTTCGCTCAAAATTATTTCATTTTTAACTATAATTTCTTAGCGCACTGCAACACCTAATGTGCGTGCTTAAGTGTAATACGATCGATATTCTCTTTATCATAGGAGATAGAAGCTTGAGTCACTTTGAAGAAAATTTTAAAAACTTTGTAACATGCTTTATATCAACATTGAAAGTTTGGATTTAAATTAAAAGTTTTGTAGCATCATTATTTCATAATGAACAAAATACGGTTTAGACGCCAAAAAACTAGCAAAAACCAATAGGCCTAAAAATTAAGAGGAATGTGAAAGAAAAAACATCATATCTGCATTTGTTTCCATACTAAACACTTCACTGTTAAAGTCTGCTGCGTAATAAATTATACTTTTTATTATTGACATCCCTATATTTTAACATCTCACTATTCCAATATAATCTGATAAATTTCATATTTTAATTTCAATAAACAAATAAGTGTGACACAAACTCTGCGAGTCCCGTTGAATTCATAATCATATGTCTCAAAGATAGCGAACATTTAGAATAAATTGTTGAGCAGTCTTCTTCGGTCAGTCCTCGTGAGATGGCGCTATCGTATTTCTTCATACCAGGGATCTTGTAGCTGTAAAATTATAATTTATTTTATCAGTTGGAAAGTTATTTCCTGTTATCTAACGTTTTAAGTATTTAATGTTTTGTTACATTTCAACAATACATTTGATCGTGCTAATTTAAGAAATATTATTATAATTATTATTATTTGTACAAATACATTACTGTTTCATCGTTATACTTCATAGTGAGTTTTACTGAGAACCCTGCGTAGAAATAAACACGTTTTAAACCAATTTCTCTAATGAAATTGTTGATTAAGTCAAACGTATGTTTGTGTGTTAACTCTGAGATAATATGTTTGTCTGTGTGGCATGCATAATGTTCTGGAGGTATGGAATGGAGAATTGTCTGGTAGTAAACTTCAACTCTTTTACATCTGTTTGTGTAATTACCTACCTATGTATTTATAATTTAGCTAAAGAACGAGTGTGGCTAAAACAAATAGCGTCGCATTTACAGGGCGAGAAATACAACCTAATATGTCAGAACAGGCAATCGATTTTGACCTACAATACTTAAATTTGGAGAATCTGTGCAAATTTTCTTTCTTTTAGTACAGTCTTTATTGATCTTAACACCTTAGCTTTCAGTATGGTGTACATCCTGGAGTCTGACCTTAGTTGGGGTGGAATGCGAGCTTCAAGTGATAGGGTTTAGTTATCATTATCTTGTGATTTCTTTTATGTAACGTGTCTTCATTCTTTTTATTATTATTTACTTGCTTTTCTGTTTCGTCAGAAACAACTACCTTCAAGAATTTGCGGCAAACAATGAATGATACATTTAAACGTGTAACTTTGTACTTTTGAACATCCACATCTGCTCCTAAATGTTAAGTTTTAGTTTCAATTCGCACATGATGGTTGTAAATAGAGGTTAAATCTGATAAACAACGTGTATCCCCCACTAGTGTGTCAGTCCAACATTCATATATATATATATATATATATATCACTTTGGTACATTTTACCATTCCAATTCTATAGCTTGTACGGTGGTTTTATTTGCGTATCTTATGTGAGACACTATTTTTGGCCCTCTGGTGAGACAGCAGTTATTCTACGGATTTCCAACGGGTTAGATTCCCCGTGGTGGACACGGCAAATAATTCAACGTGGCTTTGCTCTAAAGACAAATAACGAACACTGTTTGTTTTCGCTATAATTATTTGGATTTTTCGAAGACAAGAAAGTGCTGTCGGGTAAACGTCTCTTTTATATAAACATTAAAATTAACGTACTTCCCATAATGCTATGTTAATACTTAAAATAAATTAAAAGTGTTAGAATTTATGGAGCTACAGTGTAATTAAATACAACTAAAGATCAAAATTGTAAATGCAAATATACACTTAATGATTTTACTTGAATCTCTTTTCCTTATCGCTCTTCCTCCAAGTGGCACAGCAGTATGTCTGCGGATTTACATCGCTAAAAAGCGAGTTTCGATACCCGTGGTGAGTAGAGCACAGATAGCCCATTGTGTAGCTTTGTGCTTAACTTCAAACAAACAACAAACCTTATCGCTCCAGTTACTGTGCAAAGACAAATTTTTCACCTTAATAAACAACACTCAAACATTTCTAGATAACTCATTTTTTGACTCAATAAAGTATAATGTTGTAGGCTATGTTTTTGTGTGTGTGTATTTTATTTTAGCATTTGTATTAATATTAGTTATTAAGGGAGTTTTCATGACACTTGAAGAACGCGTAACTCAACGTATGAACTTCTTGAAAGTTTAGAAAACGATTTGAGCTATATAAAAGTGAACTTGGTAATTTGATTATTAGTTGGTTTTGTGAGTCTGTCATTATTGATTATTGAGTGAGCGAGCGAGTGATTTTTGTAATTCGGGTAGTTAGTGAGTTAATTCAGTTTATGTTTCGACATAAAAATAGAGATATTGGAGAAGTTAGCAAGTAAGTGAAATTGTTCTGTTAGCATCTACTGTGAATTTTGTTCTATCAGCTAACATGTAGAATTGTAGTTAAAGAAATAAAATGCTTATATTGTCATTAAGTAGATTCTGTTTTGCATTATTTCTTACAGAACAATCCGTAAGAACACGTCCAACAAGAGAAACCGCTACAACACTAAATAATTTTCGCTTATCCAGCACTTTCCAGGTCCGGCAGATGCTGACTAATAAACGTTTACTGTATATCGAATTTATTGCGTATTTTCAAATATAATTTCTTGACTTGTATAGCAGAGACGGCTGGTATGGGTATTAAAAACTTTAATTGACAGCTTGAAACTGTCTTTGTTAGCCTGAAGATGACCTAGTAAGGTTGAAACGTTGTTCTTGTACTTTATTTTAATTAAAGTTTTTAATACCCATAAAAGCCGACTCTGCTATACGTTTTTACTTCAAGTGGGTTTCTAGTCATCATGAATTTCGTGACTTCTGAAAGACGATCGACCATGATAGGAAAATACTATATTTTATTTTACGAACGTTGTAGAACATCTGGTTAGACTATTTGTAATTATATTATAGATCAGTATAAATTCACTCAGAACGGCTTTAAAGTACTGTAATTTATTGAACAAACAATCTTAGCACAGTGTTACATGAAAAGTTACATCTCACACAAAGCAAGAAAAAAAATATCGGTACCGTGCCTGAACTCCCATCATTGAACACGCTGCCCCTTTCAGCCGTGAGGGCATTACAATGTTTTAGTCAATCACAATATTCATTGATAAAGATTTGGCGATGGATTATATTGACTATCTGCCTCTTCTCTAGTCTATCATTTCAAAATTAGAGACGGGTAGCTTATAGCCCTCGAATAGCTTTGCGCGAAATTTGACAAATTAACAAATAAAGCCGTGCTAGTTCGTGTGACATATAACTAAACTAGAGCTTCAAGTATGAATACAACTTTCTTTAGATTGTATGCTTATATAAGTAAAAATAAAATAACCATATGTTTCTTATATAAAAACAACTTACCCTTATTCAGTTGTTTAACAAATATATTTGTGCCCATTGATATGATTTAAACAGGGGTATATAAAAAAAATCCAAAAATTTCCACTTGGGAGTAATTAACTCTATGATTCGGAATCAAATAAAAACCTTAATTATTTATAGAAATGGTTATGCACTTTAGAATATCAAAAAATAAATTAGCTGTTAAACTTTTGAAAGATGAAGTTTGCTGAACTAAACTGAAACTATACGTATAAGCACGATTGCCTCTCTCTTTACCTCTCTGTGTGGGTCTATTCCTTATGCACTGCCACATCTTTAAAGCTACAAACTGTAAACTCGGGATACAGATACAACTTTGTGCGGGAAGTAATATGGTAATTTTGAGGCCCAAAATTGAGGCCAAAGTTACTAATATAACATTTTTTGGCAAAAGGACGACCAATTGGTCTCAAATTGAAATGACCTGTAATGCTAATGTGTGATCAAGAGAGCTATTACTTACGTTTCTTCTCTGTGTGAGAACTTCACCTAATCATTCTACCCACGATCAGTTATGTGTTAAAACGATTTAAAAACTTCGCGGAACCTTCATTTGTGCTCTTTCCCTCCAGTTTTATTTCTTCTACACATAAATGCCTATTCTCTAACTTCCCTCAACTGAAAAGGCTAGTGCTTTCTCTCAAACATGCGCGCACTTTTCTTCAGCTAAATAAACTTGCTTCAGCCATATCTTTTGCTTTTCTTGCGTGTACTCGTAAGAATCACATATACTATGACTTCACAAAAAAGTTTGGTATTGGCAAATTTTCATTTACGTTGTGTTGCAACGAGAAGAGAATAAATCAATTATTTATTAAATTGAACGATAATACAGTCAGACTACGCTGCAAACGACATTTGCCCACACAGCAGAAATCGGGACACCAAAAGGTAGGAAATTTTCTTTAGGAAACTTGAAATGTCATGCATAGAACATGCCAGAAGCAGGATCAATGTACCCAGTTTTGCTTTAATTAAAATAGCTTTAACATTTTTTTTTCGCACATAGTTATTTTTATTGATTTTAATCCAAATATTTAGTTAGATAAAGAAATCGTTCTGATTTTTTTTTTTTTGTACCGAATCACGATTAATATGGTTAATTTAATCAAACAACTCAGAATATTTAAAGCCATTTCCATCCAAGGAACGCCTGGTGCACTGCTAGTAACTCATAATCTTTACTTTATCGCGTAGTAGTCACAAATCTGAAAATAGTCATTTCTTTCTTTATGACTTTCTCGTGCTGAATAGTTCTTCAAACCATGATTTATCCATTGTGAACGGGGCCTGGAATGGACAGGTGGTTAGGGAGCTCGACTCTCAATCTACCAGTCGCGGGTTCGAATCCGCCCTTTTAGTCGTGGGGGCGTTATATGTGACGGTCAATCCCACTATTCGTTGGTAAAAGAGCAGCCCAAGAGTAGGCGGTGGGAGGTGATGACTAGCTGCCTTCCCTCTTGTCTTACACTGCTAAATTAGCGACAGCTAGCGCAGATAACCCTCGTGTAGCTTTGCGCGAAATTCAAAAAACAAACAAACCATTATGAACGCGTCATTTATGCACTGCTCATGATACGTTACTCAGTAAATCAATAGCATGATTTTTGTAAGTGAAGACTACATATTTACGTTTAAAATATGAACTCGTGGATTAGATAATATTTCTTGTGGGCTATTTTAATACCACAGTGGTATTTTCTAAAGAAATAAAGAAAAGAGAGATAAAACCATCAAAGATATAGTTACTCTCTCACCTGAGGTTTTTAAGAATGGTTCTTGGAAGTAATTTGGCCTTGTGGATGAACTGTTCCAACTCGCAGACAGTCTTCTCCTTGCATTCTTTTCCCTTAATTCCTAGGACTCCAAACGCATTTTCCGGATAATTTATAGAAGATAATGCTCCCAAAAATTTCTGAAGGTCAAAGGACGGAAGTTTCAATGAATTGTGTCTCAATTCTTTATTTGATCGCTGGTATGGATCGTAATAGACAGGGTCCACTGTACCGGCATAGCTATAACTAGGTATGCCATATTGGTATCCAGTGGTCAGACCAAACGTTTCACCAAATATGGCAACAAATAACACGTGAAGGAGATAGCCTCCACCAATAGCTGCTAAGATTCCTGTTGCAGTGGAGAAAAAATTGTAAATAGAGTTGACAGCCCCAGCTCCAAACCCTAGTCCCAAAAGTTTAGATAAAATACGACTCTGGGCAGGCGCGTTTGGCCAGACCTCTTTAGCTTCGGACCCTAATATGCTATTGACCTCTTCAATTTCAGATTTTGAAGCAGAAACCAGCATACATCCCGTCATAACTATGATTACGGTAACATTTAGAAGTTTCGTCATTGTTCCACGTTGAGTTCTAGAACATAAATTATTATAATTAATACAGCAGTGAACGTAACTTGTCGCTTGTATGTTATAATAATTTCTCTATGAACGTAGATTATGGCTATCCATAAGAAAGCCCCCAATTGATCCAAATGAACAGAAGAGATTTTTATGAGAATGTTGTGATAAAAATTGTTTATTATCTATCATAAGTTAGTTTGTAAAATATTTATGTAGTTTTTCATGGTAAACATATGATGTAGTTTACTAAATGTCCTACATTTAATTCCAAAATGAATGATATTCGAGAATGTGACTGAACGATCAACAAATTCTAGTATATCAATAATTTGTGAATATATATATATATCAGTTAATCAGTTTATACATTTGATTAAATTTGTGCTATAGTTTGTAATCTGAAAGTGAACTACAAATGGGTAAACAGGCGCATGTGCATTCAAAAGCACAGACTGATAAATAGCATATTCATTATAGCATTAAACAACGATTAAGTGAAGCCTTAATTGTTAGTTAATTCCACCCATACAACAAGTTCACTTACCTTAGTTTTTAAGTTGATAGGAATACTCTACGATTAAGTGAAGCCTTGTTAGTTAATTCCATCCATACAACAAGTTCACTTACCTTAGTTTTTAAGTTGATAGAAATACTCTACGTCCGAAGTACGTCAGTCTCTTAAAACAGACTATCGACAACCTGTTCCATATAAAACTCTTAAACTAATTCTATAATGCTCTCGGAACTGAGTTGTTTACCTTTTTATATAGAACGTCAGCGATCAAATCAGTCTACGCTTTGTGATAGGTTGTGCCCGTATTGGAATACTTACGTAACCTAAAGCTCCGCCCTCTCTCGAAACGTAAACATCACAAAAATTATTTTGACAACAGTAAATTTGAGCAATGACATCCGGTGATGAAAATTTATCATGATAACCTGTCTCGTATAAATAAGTGGCTACATAATACGCACGCCCCACGGGAAATATTGAAATGCCATCTTAAGGCGTAAGTTTTCTTTTCTTCCGTGTATAACACCCGTTTCGCAACAATGGGTATTTTTCGCTAAATTAAAAAAAAAGCATACATATTTATAAATAAAATTAATAGCAAATAATTACATTTTTTATTATTTTACCTTATTATTATTATTATCTCAGCCTCATTATCTAGTCACTTCTGAAACAGTTCTAGATTGCAATATATTTCTTTTTCTATCTATTTAGCTGTCGAGTTACATATCTAAAACTGGGGTGATTTGTAAATTTAAATAAAGACACCCTATTGTTTCTTTAAATACACTATAGGTGTATAAATATGTATTACATTCAGCTTTGGCATAAATTTCCGTTTTATACATTTTTAGTATAACCATACATCTCATTTCCCGGTTGGACAGTGATCAAGTTACGGACTTACAACGCTAACATCTGGAGTTCGATTCCTGACGGTAAAAACAAAATATACCTCAGTCATCCAAAGAGTATATGTTAATCGTATCAGTGGACTTACATCAAAATAATTACGTAACATATATTTCTGATATTAAAGTGGGTGTTTGTGAATTAATTACATATAGTACACATTAAAGAGAACTCAAGATTCTATAACATTTTTGACTCTTTCCTTAATGATGTTTACATTTGAAATGCTGCAAAAGATCCACTTAATTTCTTTAAAATATAGTGTGGTTTTCTGCTCATACCGGATTCTGTATTTTCAAACCACAGGTATTAAATGATGATATTTTTTTATTTGTCTTTTTCTCTTTTGATTTACTTCTTACATGCCTCCAGTGGCACAGCGGTATGTCTGCGGATTTACAACACTAGAATCTGGGTTTCGATACCCGTGGTCGGCAGAGCACAGATAGCCCATTGTGTAGCTTTGTGCTTAATTATAAACAAAACTTCTTACATTAAAGTGGTATTCCAACAGATAAAAGTTAATTAAATTAGTTCTGGATTCGTGTGGAATAAATGATAAAATATTAGATAAAAATACGTTAAATAAAAGAAAATTAAGTTTAAAAATATCGTGTAAATAGAATATATTCTACTATTTTAGTTTTATAACTTCTCATCAATGGATTAAAAAGTGTCTTAAAATGGTAGTTTTATGAATAAATATAATAATATTTATAATAATCGTAACATTGACATAATAAATAAACCATACAGTAACTTATTCTATGGTATATACAATTAGGGCATTTCTTTAAAAGATAATGTTTTCGTAAATACAGCAAGATTTCCACACGTTATCACAGGTAATTCTACCTCACTTAAATCTCTAGCGCTTTACACAACATGTTACTCCATTCTGTTACTTTGAGGACATAATAATAATTAGGTGGAATAAACTAGCGCTTTACACAACATGTTACTCCATTTCGCTACTTTGAGGACATCATAATAATTATGTTAACAAAATATTTATTTCATTACTGTCAGTCTTCTAACTAACGCTTTAAAGTGTATATGAATCGAAAGTAATAACCAAGACTAATGTTTAAATTCTTAAATAACTGGATCGTTAATATATAGAGAAATAATTGTGACTTTCTACCAAGTCTAACCCATAACTGAATCATGAATATTCAACAATGGGAAACCTTGCTGTTGTCCTCCTTTAAGTAACAACAGGCTTTAATTATACACAGTTAACGTGAGATTCTTGTATTTGGTATTTTCAACCCGAATTGTTGTGCTGTACATTTGATTTAGACTTACAGACCAATGTATTGAAAACTAGCCAGCAGGGGATTGACTGTCACAGCTACTACGTCCTCTTGGTTGAAAGTGCAGAACGAATTCAACGACATATTACGACTCGAACCATTGGTTTTCGATCCGCAACATAGCACGTTAACCACTAGGCCACCCTAGACTCGGTGAAGGCCAATTCAAGATGTTAATTTTAAACTGAAAAAACATCATTGTTGCTATCTAGGCAACAGTAAAACAACAGATGTGACTTACAATAAGAAAATTACTTTCTAGAAGTGACATGCCGGTTTTGAGTAAGACGGTTTTGTTTTCAGTTTTGTGGTTTAAAGAGTTCATGCCGCTGTGGCTTTTTGTAAGGAATATGTTCAGCTTTGTAATTTGTTACGTGAGTTTGCTTTGAATACTTCGATTTATTTTAATAGATTCCACTGACTATAAGCAGAATGTGTATGATGTATTTGATGAACAGCTGTCGACTACTTAGACTGAGCTTACTCGACCAAGGTTATTTGCATATAGAAAGAATGCATATGTCACGTTTCGGGTGATGAGCCAATGTCGTCAATGGCCGGACGATGCTGTCATTTCCCTCTTTTCTTGAGCATCGATAACAATGTCTGGTCATTGACAACATTGAATATAAATTTTGGGCAATATTGTTTTCATGTCGATAAAATAGAGTACCTTAAGCGATGTCGTCATTTTTCACTTGATAATGTTAATTCATACTGTAGTACAAGATTGAACAGTGAAATAGGACATTGCTGTCTTTGCCTGAACTTTGTCATCAATGTAGAAGGACAGAGAGAAATGACAATAATAATTAAATGGCCATTGACGACATTACCTGTTTTCGGTCATTGCCCATTAACATATAAATAAATTTAAAACTCAGCACCAAAGAAAAATTTGTCTTATGGGTCATTCAACTAGAGTTAGAAATTTGTGTTTGCTGGAATTTTCTAAGCTCAGATTTTATTATAGCTAAACAGCAAAGAGGCAATTCGATAGATTGATCAGTAAGTACACTTTATTTTATTCAATATTTTATTCTATTCACCCCCTTCCCCCGTGTATGTTTTGTGAGGTCAAGATTCCTTGATGAAGGCATGTTAATCTTCTAGAGGATTTTTACTCCTCCAAGAACACCCAGCATGTTACGAATATGTTCATGTTGTAAAACAGATCGATCGTCCCTATCGTGATTACGTGCAGCAACACCTGCCCGATGAACAATCACGCCAACGGTTCTGAGCCGTGATATTTAGGGTTGTTTGGGAATCTACAGCCAGCAGGTACCAAGGGATAAAAAGTAAACATTGATAGTTCTCTGATCTAAGCAGTCATTATTTCTCATTTGTATCCTGAAAAGGAAAGTTCATTTTATTCACTCCGTGAAGAACGTTTTCTGGTAGGAAATTAGATTGAACGATTACAAAAGATGTCAGCTCATGTTAAAGTTTATCTTGGTACTGCCTTGAAACACATCCTAGGGGTTCTAACATTAGTCACGACGGGAACCTTCCTCTCTGTAATTACAGAATCAACTAAATCTTTGTATTCATACATTACTAGTAGAGTAATGTAAAGGGTAATTATGAGGTTTGATAGTAAACACTTGGGATAGAAAAGCAGAAAACAAAACTTGCTCTAACTTCTTATGGGCTACTTGTTCGTTATTTACAAAAGTTACACGTGTGTTTCCATTCTGGTTCTTTGGAGATCTTGATCATAATCAAATCTTGTGTTATATTTTATGTCATATAAAGTTATACAGGTAATATTTTCTAAAAAAGTAGTAAAAAAGGTTGACAAACAAGAAGATAACTGTTTATAAAAACGGAGAAAAGTTTAAAAATGCACAGACTTCACCAAGTTAACCTGCTATAATTAGTTTCTCAACTGGTGAAATCTTATACACTTTTTCAACTTTTCTTACTTTGTTTTTATCTGTAAACAAAGTATTTATATTTTCTGGCAAACTTCTTTCTCAAATTTGTTTTAGGTATACAAATGTCTAGACATGTTAGACAAGCATTAGTAAACAGGCAAATAGCTATCTAGACATCTAGTTCAGTTGATAAAGATTGATAAACAAGCAGCTAACTAGGTATACAGACAAATATAGAGTTAGGCATACAATAAAGACAAGAACACCTAAATGGATAAAAATAAGCATACAGATATAAGGGAAATACTGAAGTGGATAAAAAGTTAAATAAACAAATATACACAAAAAGATCTACACAAAAATTGTGTAACACATACAAATATAGTTAAAAAATACTACAGACATACGAATATAGACAAAAATACTACAGATATACGAATATAGACAAAAATACTACAGATATGCGAATATAGACACAAATACTACAGATATACGAATATAGACACAAATACTACAGATATACGAATATAGACAAAAATACTACAGGCATACCAATATAGACAAAAATACTACAGATATACGAATGTAGACAAAAATACTACAGACATACGAATATAGACAAAAATACTACAGATATACGAATATAGACAAAAATACTACAGATATACGAATATAGAAGAAAAAAACAATATATATATATATATATATATATATACATATATTGTGTGTATGTGTGTTTGTTATATTTATTCCTTTTTTCACCAAAAGTGAAATTGAAAAGAGACTCGATGACGTAATATTATATACATTAAACAGATATAGTTGACATGAACATAGAAACACCTTGGTGAGATACATAATATTTCAGAATACATGTGCAATATCAAACGTTTCTGAATAACCGGTCTGGATGTTTCAGAAACCATTTTCAGTTACTCTAGCTTTCTAACTATAACTTTTGTACTTATTCTAGGCGCATAGCCCTAACTTTTGCAGTTACTATATTTTTCTAATTATAACTTTTGTACTTATTCTAGGCGAATGGCCCTAACTTTTGCAATTACTATATTTTTCTAATTATAACTTTTGTACTTATTCTAGGCGAATAGCCCTAACTTTTGCAATTACTATAGTTTTCTAATT